TCCGAGGTACAACAACAACGGCTCCCGCCGGATACTTTCTGACAGTTTGAAGACGGGGAGCTCGGCGCGGGACTTCCTCACAAGTAATATTGGAAACGCGCTCTCGCGTGGGACTTCCTCACCTCGACACTCAGGAATCACGCTCTCGCGCTGGCCATTCTATTTTACTTGAGAATCGCGCTATCGCTCGAGCTCTCCTCGCGATTCATGCAGGGCGCACGCTTCAGCAACCCGCCTGCTCGACCTGGCCACCTGGGCCTGCTATCCCGACCCGCATGTTAGGATCTACCCGCCCGTTCTGTCCGTGTGGTTTTGCCACGTGCTTTCTGCTCCTAGCCCCCCTCCTGTTCTTCCCTCTCGTGTACCATCCTCCGCCTCATCCTCCTGTTCATGCGCCACCTCCTACTCCAATGTACGCAGGTCCCTTATGTGCGATTGCGCATGGCGCGATGGGGTCCGTTTGGGAGTTCGAGGTCCGCTATGGCACCCGTCGACGGATGTCGACGACGCCCACGGCGAATCACCGCCGCCCCTTGCCTTCTTTAAAGCGCCGATGTGGCCGAAAGTTGTGCTAGTGTTTATTGGATCATATGTTCCCCCAGCCGCCTTGGAAACGCTTCGGGGAACACGTGGGGAAGAGGGGAATGAGGAGAAGAAGGGCAAGGGAGTAGGAGGAGGAGGAAGAAGAGGAGGATGAGGAGGAGAAGGAGGAGCCTCTTGGGTCACTCTCTTGGGGTCTCCTGGGAGCTTCCTGGGAGCATCTTGGAGGCCTCTTGGGGATCTCCTTCGGCCTCGTGGGGGCCTTTGGGGCTTCTTCGGGGCCTCTTTGGCTAGGGCGTCCCTGGGCCGTCTGACACCGTCGGGAGCCGCCTCTGGGGCCTCGATGGGCCGTTCTGGGGCCCTCTCTGGGCGCTTCGGGGCCGTCTTGGGCCCCCCTTTGGGGGCCGTCGTTGGGGCCCCGTGGGCCGTCCTGGGGCCATCTTGGAGGCATCTTGGGCGCTCTGGGGGCGATCTTGGAGGCATCTTGCAAATGCCAAAGTCTGTCACGACACCAACGGGAAATCTATGATGTTGGCTTCTTCGGGATGTCCTGGGGGCCACCTTGGAGGCCTCTTGGGCTTTCTGGGGGCGATCTTGGAGGCCTCCCGCAGATGCCAACATCGGCCAACCAACGGAAAGTCTATGAGTTTCGCGTCTTTGGGTTTTCTGGATGACCTCTTGGAGGCCAATTGGGCTGACTTGGGGGCTTCTTGGGGGCCTCTCGAGCTGTCTTGGGTCATCTTGAGGGCATTTAGGGTGCAGATTGGGTCGTCTTAGCTGCATCTTCGGGGCAATATTGGGCTCTCGTGGGGCCATCTTGGCCGTCTTGGGTTCATCGTGGAGGCCATCTTGGACCAGATTGGCCATCTTGGGCCATCTTGGAGCGAGAAGGGCATTGACCAGTAGATTGTGGGAGCTATCCTGGTGGCTAGTGGGCTGGGCCGAAGCCCCAAGGGGAGTTCTTTAATAACTTAACACCATGAGGACCTGAGCACGCCAGGCACCCCTGTGATAAATCAACATGGGGCGGCGGACCTTTGGCGTTCAGCCCATCCCGCCACGGTGCCTGGCTGGTCGGTCAGACGCCCACTGGACGCCTGTGAGGATGTCTTGGCATACGTCTGGAAAGCCTCTTAGAGGCGGTTTGGGGGCGTCTCGGGGTCCTTCTGGGGCTTGGCCTTGCCTCGGGGGCCTCTGGGGGGTGGCACGCAGCGGGCCAGAAGCCTCGGTCGGCCACGGTTTTGCGGTCTCGGGCTGCGCCACCACCGAGCTGGACAAGTTTCGGACTTTGGCCTTCACAGCAGTGGCGCCCAGCGTTTGGGGGAGGTCTCGGTCCCTCACCCTGATGCTCACTCACGCCTGACCTGGGCCCGATCTGCCGTGCGACGCTGGCCCCTGCTCTGGCGATGATGCGCGCGGTCTGGGAGCACCGGGTGCCTCAGCACGTTCTTGTGTATGGCCTGCAGAGATGCGCGTCTACGAGCTGGCGCCAAGCGAGGGGCCCCTTTGCGACGGTCAGACAGTCGCTCGAGAGAGTTGGATGGAAGGTTGCTGTTGGACGCACCTGGTGCACACACCTTGGTGAATGCATCGCCATATTAGAGACCTCGCCTTGGGTGGTCAAGCGCCTGGCTGTGGATGGCGGTGGAGGCCCGGCAGCGGCAGCCGGTTGGGCAGCGACCTGGACTACAGCATCTCGCGGGCGGCGTTCTGGAATTGCTGGCCAGGCTCGCGAACTCGGGCATCGTGAAGCGCAAGGGCGTCTTCGGCCGCCAGGTGAGCATTGACGACAGCGGGCCCGCTGATGCTGCCGCGGGCAGCCAGGGCCAGAGCGCGCAGCCAGTGCGCATTGCGCCACGGCAAGGTGCGTCGACGGATCCTCTGCCGTTGGCGCACGCAGCCAAGCTCATGCCCTGAGGCGCGGCACTTGGGAGGAGGCCCCACATCCAGCGCCTGCCGCCTCAGCGGGCCCAGCGCGTCGCGTGGCCAGGCCGATCCGACTCGCGCCCACGGAGCGCGGCTACCTGGCCTCTGTCATCGCTGGCGGCCAGTGGGTGCAGGCGAGGAAGTGCGACCACGGCTACGCGGAGGATGACACGCGCCTGCTACCCGGCGCTGTTGACACTCTCTTGCGCAGGCGCGTGAGTTCCGGCGGGCGGCCGCCCGAGCTGCAGCTGCCTAGCAAGATGCGTGGGCTCGCGGACAGGGCTGACCTCAGCAAGGCGCAGTGCTTGCTGGGGCGCGTGCCGTGGCCGGCGCCCCGGGGCATTGCTGAGCCCCCATCGGCCCCCTGGGCTACACTGGCTTGGACAGGCTGGCGATGGCGTGTTTCCCTTTGGCGACGTGTGCCTGGGCGGCTCGGCGTACGAGGTCGACTTCCAGCAGTGCTCTAGCATGGCTTGGGCGGCGGTTGCGTTGCAGGAGGGCGTCGACGCGTTCCACGCTGGTATCTCAGGTGTGCTGTGTGAGCCCTTCGCGGACATCAGCGGCGGTGAGCTGGCGGCGTTGCTGGCCGCGCTTCGGCATGCCGTGCCGCCCACGAGGGCAATCGTGGGCAGCAACTTCGCATCTGGGCGTGACCGAGCACGGCGAGGTGAACACGGCGACGCGGGAATACGCGCGGGCCCATCTCTGGCGAGCGTGCTGGAGGCCGATCGACGAGTTCTGCGGCCCGGGGCCACCAGGGCTCACCGCGAAGACGTTACCTACCCATGCTGCTCGACCGAGAGCTGGCGGCAGCGGCAGCATCCCAGTCCGCGATTGGGTCGGCAACGGCTTCGCGGACAGGGCGGCGAAGAGCGCCGCCGAGCATGCGAGGATCGCGCCTGGCGATCGGCTGCGGCTGGCCTCAGCCAACGGCATGGTCGAGGGCGCGGAGATGCGGGCCTCGGCCGTCGGCGCGTTGCCGTACGGCGCGGACGCGACCCACCGCGTGGCGAAGCCCAACAAAGCGGCACCGCTGGCGCGCCTGAAGGAGGAGACGTCGAAGCTCCAGCCTGACCTCCGAGGCCCACCTGGAGCGCGATGGTGCGCCAGGTGCCGCTGAGCCGAGAGGGCGAGTGAATGCCCTGGATCGATCGTCGGGGCGGCAATCGAGCACAAGCGCAAGCTGCGGGAGCGCGGCGAGCTTGCGCACGCGCTGGCGACTGCCAAGCCCCAGTCCGACGCGCAGCTGCAGAAGGGACATGCCCGCGCTGGCCTGCCTGGTCCGCGGCGTGCCGGGCGCGGCGAGGAGCTCTTGGTTCGCCAGAGCTTGTTAAGAGCCAGGGGCCAAGCGCAAGCTGGCCATCCGCCGGCTGGCCAAAGCCCTGGCCCCTGGCATGTCGGCGAAGGTGCCCGTCGCCGCGGGCACGCTGGACGAGCTGCCTTAGGCGCGCGAGGGGGGGAGAGGCCCCGCATCCCCTCCCGGCGTTTCGGGCGGACGCCGCCGCCGCCGAGCATCTCGGCGGCCACGCGCGGGTCAACTGACCCGTGCCCGTGCGCGGGGGACGTGCGCGGGCGCCGGGGCGGCCGACAGCCAATCTCGAGGCGCACGGATCCTCTTCCTCTTCTTTTTCACCGTTCTCCCCCTCCTCCTCGCATTAGTTCTCCCTGTCGCACCCCAGGGCCAGTTTTTAGGGCGGGCCGGGAGTTCCGCCTGAGACTCCTTCTGCTCACCACTGATGACCCTGAAGTTTTAAACTTGGCAACAGTTTTGCAGATGGAGGGCGGGTCGTTCTCAAAATGTCGGTCTCCCTTAGCGCCGCGCACACTCGGTGTAGAAATGCAAGAGCTTCACGGTTTGAGGGCGGGTGGTCCTCAACATGTGGTTCTCCTTAGCACCACGCACATTCCTTTTCAAACTCTGCAAGAGCTTCGCGGGTTGAAGGCGGCTGGTTTTCAAAATACGGTTGTCGCCTCAGCGCCGCGCGCAATGTTTGTAAAATATTGCAAGAGCTTCCCAGATCGAGGGCGGCTCATTTTCAAAATGTTGTTCTCGTTTTAGCGCCTGTTAAAACGATTGCAAGAGTTTCCCGGTCTTCCATGATCGACGTACCAGACATGGTCTTTGGAAGAACTCACGATCATGAGGTCGCAACAGTTACGATGATCTGTGGTGTTGAAGTCCCAGGAATGGCGTTCTGGAGCGATTCAGGATCGCCAGGACGCAACAGTCACGTTTATCCGTGGCGTCGCAATCTCGAGAACAATGTTTTGGCATGTTTCAGGGTCTTCGAACGGTTGTCTTCCAACGAGGCAGGTTGTTCTGTGGAAGTGAAGCGTTGTAGGGGCCTGTGAAGAGGGAACTTGGGGGAGGGTTAATTCCAGCGTCGTTTGTGACTCTTGGGCTTACAGTGGTTTTCCTCCTCCTCATCCTCATCCTCATCGTCCTCCTCCTCCTCTTTCTCATCATTCTCCTCTCCGGCTCTCCTTCTCTTCGACGCTCCTGCTCGCCCCTCGTGACCCCGCCGCTGGGTGAGGCGATCCTCCTGAGCGCGCAGCCCGAGCATTACGACGACTGAAGGGAAGCCCAGACAGGAGCCGGCCCACGAGCGGGCTCCATCGACGGCCTCCGCCTTGGCCCCTTCAGTCTAAGGCTGGACCTAAGCGCTGTGTTGCTGGACTTCGACTGTGATTTGTTCTACGTTCTGGCAGGGAGGTGCAGGAAAACAGGTCGAGCAAAACGAAAAACATAACGGTAATCAAAACGAAAAGCAGCGTTTAGGTCCAGCCCTGCTTCAGTCAGTGCCCCAGGCTACACACAGTGTGGTCACGCAGGGATGTGGTTTGCGACCTGCGTCGTTGGGGCTCGAGGGCGCCACATGGCCCTCGTCGGGCCCCCTCGGGGCGCGGCGGAGAGCTCTGCCAATGTCTTCGCCCGCCCGCTGGGGTGCGGGTTGCACGCCGCACCCTCTGCAAATCACACCCTTCGGAGACGCCGGTCGGCGGCCCAAACTTCCTCGCGTCCTGACAGCATCGGGACGAAACAGTTTCCCCATTATCTCATTATCCAGGCGCTCTTGCCTGTCCCCAGGACCGTCAAAAAGCTTTGTGGGACGACGAACCGTGCCCCGGGAAGTGGTGAGATGCACGGTGGTCCGCGTCAACAAAGTACGATATCGGAAGTATGGGGTGTTGCAATATAACAACACCTAGGCAGAAGCGTGAATTCACGCTTCGCGTCCTCTCTTGTTCTGTGCGCCGCGTGCTTGCCGGGCCCGCCGTGATTTTTATGCGCGGCGCCAGAGGTCTGGGGACGAAGCGGCTGCATCGTTCTTCCTGCGCGACCGAGAGCCGCTTCCTGCCGGAGTTGTGCACATGCAAGCTCGGAGGCACACCATGCTGAGCGGCGGCAGCTTCGAAGCATCCCCCGATCCTGGCCTCCGCCTTGGGTGTGTGTGTGTGTGTGTGGGTGGGGGGGGGGTTCATGGGCAGGGGAAGTGCCGGAGAGGGATGGGGGAAGAAAGGCGGAAGATGGAAGACGGGGACCAGCTTGGACCCCTCAAGACCTTTCAACGCTAGCAGGGTTGACTTGGTTCCTTTTGAGAGGTCATCGGACGGGGCTGGGACGAAGGTAAGTCTATTCAGAAGGTCCTGGATCGCTCTCAGAGCGTTCTGGCACGTTCAGAGAGCGTTCTGGAACGTTCTGAGAAGGCCGCGGCGCCCGAGACATCCTCCAGAGCCGCGGTTCTCGATCGTGAAGGCCTGACGGCTGGTGCCGCCGACTCTGAAAGACATCGACGACGACGACCAGGAGGGAGAGGAGGAGGAGGGGAAGGAGGAGGAGGAGGAAGCAGAAATGATGATGATGATGATGATGATGATGATGATGATGATGATGATGATGATGATGATGATGATGATGATGCTGATGCTGATGATGATGATGATGATGATGATGATGATGATGAGGATGATGAGGATGATGAGGATGATGAGGATGATGAGGATGATGAGGATGATGAGGATGATGAGGATGATGAGGATGATGAGGATGATGATGAGGAGGAGGAGGAGGAGGAGGAGGAGGAGGAAAAGGACTCCCACCTGCCCCCACTCTGTGGAGGAGGACCGAAGGAGGTCCGGCGTGGGAGAGGGGAGGGGAGGGGGAGGGGGACACCCAGGGACGAATGCGTATCTGACTCCCTTCCCCCCACTTGGGACTCCTCCCCACCTGGGGAGGAGGACCCGAGGAGGACCGGCGCGCCGGAGAAGGATCGGCGTGGGAGAGGATGACCCCCAGAGGCGATGCGAATCTGACCCCCCCCCTCGGACCACCCCCGCCGGGGAAGGGACAAAGACAAGGGGCTTCCCTGCGACGTAATACTGATGACGTGGATGGAATTCCCTCAAGCTGCGAATCCGTTCCCCGAACGAGTAAGGGTTCTTTCTCTTTTTTTTTTTTTTTTTTGTTCTCTCTCTCTCATGGGAAGGAGGGGGCGAAAGAAGGCTTCCCGTCGACGGGACCGGGCAGACACCCCACACGCCGACAAGGTCGGCGGATTTACCCCCATTCGAATTTCTCCTCATCCTCGTTTCGTCTCAGGCAAGGAGGGTGTCGCAGGTGTTTTGGAGGTGCTTTCTTGCGTGAGGAGGAGCGTGGGGCGTGCGGGGAGGGCTGGGGGAGGGGGAGGAGGGAGGGAGGGAGGCCTATGAAGAAACCACGGGACTCAGCGGCGTGGCGTGGCGCGGCGCCGTGCGTGGACCTGCGGGGAAGGGCGGCGTGCCCACCCGGGCCAGCCCCCCCCCCCCGGCTCGCTCCGCCAGCCCCCGAGCTGCGTGCCCGCCTCGCTCCCCGCCGTCGCCACTGCCCCTGGCCTTTCGGGGCCTGACGAAGAGGGGGGGATTGGGAGAGGGAGGTTACGAAAGCTGCTGCATGCAGCTGGCTTCGGCCCCGCCGAGGGCCCATTCCGCGATGCATGGCCCAATCGAGGAATGGCATTCTCGATACATGGCCCATCGAGGAATGGCATTCTTCGATACGCGGGCGGATTCTCCCCCGTCCCTTTGCTATCCCCAGCTTCCGCCCTGCCCGAGCCTTCCCCGCGCAGCCCCGGGCGCGCGCGGGCACCGCTGACGGCTGCCCGTGGGGCGTGCGCGCCTCGGCCTCCTTGGCGCGCGGGGCCGCCGCGGGCCCCGTGCGGCGGTTCCGCCGCGGCCCCCCGCGGAGAGCAGCGGGCCGCCCCGAGCGGCGCCTCTCCCACCGGCCCACCGCGGGCGCGCGCGCGGGCCCTTGGGGCGCGCAGCGGCGCGACAGCGCGAACCGCGCGCGGTGGCGCGCCTCTCACGGCCGCGGCTGGGGCCTCGGCGCCCTGGGGCGCACCACGGCCTGCGGGCATCGACCTCGTCTGGTGCCGCCCCTGCGGCGGGCCAAGCTGGATGCGCTCCCGTCCGGTACGATCGAAACGGACACGGAGAGAAAGGGTCTGTGGGCGTCCAGAGTTGGTACGGACAAAGAGTGAGTACGATGCCAAACAGCAGATGTTGTCCAGAACCGGCAGCGGCCGCTGTTGGACAGGCGGCCTTCGGTCTCACATGGACAAAGTCCGCAGTGGCACCGACAGCGAGTCCGGTTCAACATGTACAGATAATGTTGTCGGTCTCTGCACCAATTGTCTCCGTACCCATTTCGATATTCCAGAAAGAGCACGAAGACGGACAGCTGTTCTTGCCAATGTTGAGCAGGATTCGCTGTCGGCGTCGCCGCGCCGCTGTGACACAGAGAGTCGCCTGCCCAACAGCAGTCGCTGTCCGCACCATGTCGGGCGTCCAAACCCATGGGGGGCGGCGTCGGGAGGTTCGCCAGGCGGGGGGGGAAAGGGGGGGGGGGGGGGGCGAAGGCTGCAGGACAGGGGCCCCCCAAGGGTGCACGAAACGTGCACCTTTCTTCCACCCCCTCCTGCCCCTGGTTGTGGCTCCCGCCACTGATCGGCGGCCACCCCGAGGGGCGGGCCTCCCCAGAAGGTGCGGGAGTTCCTCCAGTCGTCGAAGAAGTTTGCTGAGCCTCCCCCGAAGACGCAGAGAACTTGCCAGGAGGCCAGAGCGCTTCTGAGAAGCCCTGCAGTCTTCTGAGAAGGCCTCCTCCTCCTCCTCCTCCTCCTCCTCCTCCTCCTCCTCCTCCTCCTCCTCACGCTCATCTGCAGCGCATGCTGAGAGTGAGGACCTCGCCAGGCTTCTGCTGCACCTCGCACTGGAACGGGGCACGGCCCCGTGCGCGCCTGGCGACCGTGAAGAGCAGGCTCCGGCTGGAGGCAACGTTGCATGAGGATTCCGCCTGCGCAGGGGGGCATGCCAGTCCACTCTCGCAGCGTGTCAGCGCGGGCGCGGAGACCCTCTCCTCAAGCTGACCGAGCTTGGCCGGCGGGGCGACTATCCAGGTCGACTCGCTTGTCGAGTTTCTCCTCGTCCACGCCACTCAGGGAGGGCCCAGCGGCCGCCGCCACTCCTGCCGGCGCGTCCCGCTGCGCGTGCAGCGCAGTCGCGTGCAGCTCAGCACGTCGTCCTGGCCCACGCCCACGGTCCAAGAGCCCTGCGTTGGCGATATCATATGCAGGACGGCTATCTCCTATCTCCGCATGCGAGCGCGCACCGTCGCACGTGAGGTATTGGCAGCAGCGGGCCCCAGCCTTGCCTTGGCCAGCTCGTCCGCCTGGTTGTTGACCCTCCGCTCTGTGTGCGTGGACCGCCCGGAGTCCGCGTCAGCGGCCGCGGCGTGCCGCAGGGTTTTGTGCGCCACCAGGTTGTCTGGGGTGAGGGCGCCCCCGAAAGGCCCCCACATGTGGGACTGCGGGTCGGCTGCCGTGCAGTCTTTACCAGGTCCCCAGAGCAGCGCCCGCAGCGTGGTGGCGCAGTCCAAGCAGAGTTCCGTGGGTCCATGGGCCCAACTGCGACGATCTGCAACATGCAGGTCGCGAAGTCCTCCGCGTCGGGCGCCGCCTGGTCCAGGGCGGCCGCAAGCGAGACTGGGCCGAAGGCCGTCGCATCCAGGGCGCCGAGGCGATCCACAAGGAACGGCCGCCCACCACGCCCCAGCCAGCCCCAGACCTTTTCTGCCCTAGGAGATGGAGGTGCCGACCCGGGAGAGGGCCCCAGTGAGCAGGCCTGAGGGGCAGCGATGACAGGCGGGGACTGGCGTAAGGGGGGGGGTGGGAGCGACGACCTGGAGCCCGCCATTCACTGCCGACAGATCGGCGATAGGCCGATGGGCCCCCGACAGCGAAGCCGCACGTTCTTGAGCGGGGTGGGCGATTAGGGGTCGATGCCCCTGAGTCTAAGGTCTATGTGATAGTTTTCGTATTCATTGTTCTGCCGATCGGCGCGGGCCCTCGACCCCACCTTGCCCCCCACCCATGGAGTGGATCTTGGCGGTTTTTGACGCCTGTGTCACGCAGGTGGAGGCTTCCTCATGGGACGCACTGCTGCAAACAGTCGCACTAAGCAGAGGTCTGGAGCAAGACCCCCCTCCACCCCCCCTTCCACCCAAAGTCGAGACGCCGATTAACAGAACGCTCACCATCGCCTG